GATCAGGAGAACTGCAGTTAAAGTCCATTCCCAACAAAGAGTTAATAGTGAGACCCTATCTCAGTCAGTAAGCCAAGTATGGTGTTAACACATCATGTCTGTAACCCTGATGGGATATAATTCAGGTGTAGGGAAAAGGGAAAAACTATCAGACCCTATGTAAAAAATAACTAAAGCAAAAAAAGGGGAGGGGGGCTAGGGGTATGACTCAATTGAAAGAGGACCTGTGTAGAAACACAAGTCCCTGAGTTCAAACTCCAGTGCTGCAGAGAGAGAGAGAGAGAGAGAGAGAGAGAGAGAGAGAGAGAAGGAAAAAATCCTCAAGTTTAATTCCTGTATCAAAATTTTAATAATATTCAAAAACTATTACTATAAGAAAACTTCTAATATTTTCTGCAGACTCAAAATGAGAAACTAAAAGTATTTTGCTCTCTTTAAAATAAACAGGGAACACACTGCAACTAGTTCAACACTCTGGTATTAACTCTTTTTTGTGTGTTGGTACTGAGGCTTGAACTCAGGAGCTCATGCTCTTGCTTAGATTTTTCACTTAAAGTTGACACTACTCCTTGAGTCACAACTCCACTTTGGGCTTTCTACTAATTAGAGAAAACAGACTGAAAGACTTTCCTCTGCATGGGCTGGCTTTGAACCTTGATCCTCAGTTCTTAGTCTCCTGAGTAGCTAGGATTACAGGAGGGAGCCACTGTGCCAGTTGGTATTAACCCTTGATGCAGAGCCAGATGGCTACCAGCTATCCTCTAAATCCACAGGGTACAGGTTAGGAGGTTCTATCTCTCCAATCATCTTATACTCTAAACTACCATGATTCTCTTGGAAACAGCACTCATTTTCTACAACAAGCATGGATAGGTTGGATTGTTCACGGTTATGTTTCTCACAAGGAGAGGAATGACAAAAGAAAGAAAAAGACTACTATTTACTGTGCAGAATATATTCTTATATATTTGAAAGGCTTTCTCCACAACCACTGTTATGTATGTACTATGTCCCAGATTCATTATAAATTCCCCGAGGGATTTCCTTATGGTACCCTTGTTCAATGCTATTTTAGATACTGAGAATATAAAAATGAATATGCTTGACCATAAGGCAGGTATCAAAACAAACACAAATTGCTAAACACAAGAGCAATATAAGTGCTATATAAATACATAAAGCGCTATGGTGGTAAAGAAAAGTAAATAGAACTAGCAATGTTGGAAGAGGCTTTAAGAAGTATTGAGCCTTAAAAAAACAAATGGGTGTTGGGCACTGGTGGCTCACGCCTGTAATACTAGCTACTCAGAAGGCTGAAATCTGAGAATATAATGGTGCTCAGGGACAGCACCCAGTCCCTGAGTTCAGACCCCACCAGACAGACAGACAGACACAGACACAGACACACACACAGACACACACATACACACACAAACAAATGGGATTCAGTTAGTCAAAGAAACATAAGCAAACCCCCAGAGGCATGGCCAACCACTCGTGTGGCAGAAAAGGTGCATTTCTTTAGAACAAGGTCACTGAATACGAATGATGATAAACAAGGCTGGAAAATGAATTTGAAGTCAGAAACAACAAAGGTCATTTAATACATTGCTAAAGAAATTACCTTCACCAGCAAAATGTAAACCAAAACTAAGCCAGGCACTGGTGGCTCACACCTATAATCCTAGCTACTCAGGAAGCTGAGATCTGAGGCCTGTGGTTCAAAGCCACCTTGAGCAGGAAAGTCTGCGAGACAATTCAATGAACCACCCCTTAACCAAAGTGCAGCTGTGGCTCAAGTGGGACAGTGTTCAGGCCCTGAGTTCAAGCCCCAGGCCTGGCAAAAAAATAAAAAAAAATGGCTATCATAAACAAAACAAATATGGGGTGGAGATTATTCCAGCCACTATGAAAATCAGTTATGGATGTTCCTCAGAAAATTTAAAACAGAACTCTTCTATACCCAGCCATACTATTTCTGGGTAGATAGAATCCCAAAGGAATCAGTCAGCCAGGTGCTGGTGGTTCATGCTAGTAATCCTAGCTACTCTGGAGACTTAGATCTGAGCATCATGGTTCAAAGTCAGTCTGAGGCAGAAAAGTCTGTGGCACCTTTTCCTCCAATGAATCAGCAAACAGCCAGAAGTGGAGCTGTGGCTAAAGCCAAGGGATAGATACAGTAAGGTTCTTAATTCAAGCTGTAGTACCAGTACACATTTATCCTAGGACTGTTCACAATAGCCAAGTTATGGAATCAACCTAGGTGCCCACCAACAGATGAACAAATAAGGAAAATGTGATTTTACACACATACAAATATATACATACTTATAGACACACACAATGGAATTTTATTTAGCCATTAGAAAGAATGTCTTTTGCTGCAAAATGAACAGAACTTGGAATCATCATGTCAAGTGAAATAAGCCAGTCCCACAAAAACAAGTATCAAATACTTTCTCTCATTGTGAAAAAGAAAATCAAAGTCATGAAAATAAAAGCAAGGAATGGGGGGCACGCAATAAAGAGAAGGAAAACAGGAAGGAAGAAGAATAAGAAAGAGTACCAGAGAGGGCAAATATGATCAAAATATATGTAATCATGTGATCAATATGATCATATACTGAAATATCATGACAAAAACTCTTCCTATACGGTTTAATATGTGCCATTACAAAAAAGATGATGAAGAAACTGGCCTTTATTCTGTTGGCAATTCAGGGTACCTTGCAGTTTTTAAGTAGGGTCATTATAACAATCAAATTTAGATAGACATGAAAACTGTAAGAAAAACAAGTTGGAAGTGACTTTACCAGCTTATGTCAGAGCTGGTGATTGCCTGAGGGCAGCAACAACACTCAGAGCTAGTGATTGCCTGAGGGCAGCAAAACATTTTGAAGACCAAAAATGTGTTTTGAGCTGTTGACAAGAAAAGACAAAAGAGAAAGAACAGCAAGGACAAGTAATGTTACTAATCATATTAAAGATTAAAAGATCTTCTTTTCTTCAATCATGTTTTTTCTAGAGTGAGGAAGGAGGCTCAAAATTCCAATTTTAAAAGTAATTTGGGGTTCTGATTTTTCGAGGCAGGGTCTCAATAGGTAGGTCAAGCTGGCCTTGAATTCAAGGTCCTCCTGCCTCAGTCTTCTGTCTCCTGGGATTACAAGCATCCACCATCACATCTGGTCTTTATCTTTTCAAAGTATCTGTGGAAAATCAGGTTACAGCCTAGGAAACAGTTTGAAATATGAGAGTAGTCATCAAAAGGCAGGTGAATGGTCAATGAGTAAGATGTGAGTTGATAAATTTCTAAGAGTTAAGCAAATTTCATAGCCAGAAACAACAAAGACAGAATCCAAATTCAATTTCCAAATAAAAGCCTAGGAGAGAAATAGAGGAACACTACAAGCAAAAAGAAAAAAAGAAATGGTGGGACATACAAAATTCAAGTGTCTTTTTTCATTTTATCTCCCGTTTTATGTTGCTTGCGTCAGGCACTATCGCACTCTGATTGCACCCATCCTTCCTTCCTCCTTTACACTTCGCTAACTACATTGTCATGGTAAAGTCACTAACTTCATTATGCCTTAAGTCCACTGCTTGTCAGACCAAAAGGACGGCTTTATAGGACGGTATGTGGATTTACTTAATGCCAAGTGCTTTGTTAAACCAGAGCGCAGAACCAAATTAACAAGCAGTTGTTGTGCCTTGCCCTGGTGGCTCATGCCGGCAATCCTAACTACTCAGCAGGATGAGACCTGAGATAGAGGTTCAAAGCCAGCCTAGGCAGGAAAGTCCATGAGAATCTTCATCTCCAGTTAACCACCAAAAAAGCCAAAGTGGAGCTGTGGCTCAAGTGGTAGACCAAAATAAGCTCAGGTTAAGACACAGCCCAAAAAAAAAAAAAAGGCGGTTGTTTTGAAGCCTGGCCTTTAGTGGTGATTTCCATTTTTTCCCCTGAAATAAGAGAAAAACACCGAGGCTAAATGACTAGTTCCATCAAGGAAGACCACACCTAACCCTAATTTCTTCCATCACCTCCAGTCAGTCCTCAGATCTCAGTGAATCCACGAAAAGCTTAAGGCCTTCTCACCTCACCTTTATCGTCTTACATTCAGGTAATGAAAAGGAAGGAAGTGGGGGGGATCAATGGTAGAGGGTGGTCTGGGCAGAATAAAACGACTTACCCAAGGTCAAAACAAGAGTGGAGAAGCCTAGCTCGTCAGTAACCAAGGCCACGTCTCCCCAGCCACCTCCGCAAGCCCCCGAGAAATGACGGCAGGGCCTCAGGGGGCAGCGCGGGGGCTCGGGCCTGGCAGGGGTTCACCTGACACGCGGGCCTCACCGTGCAAGCGCTCCGCGACCTGCAC